AATATATCTCCAGTCTCCAGCTATCCAGATCAAGAATCAAGATTCCGATCTCCCCGCCATGGTTATAGGTATAAAAAGCATTATGGGCATATACTCATTATTTTAATCTAGTTCTAGTCTCCAGCCATCCAAGTCGAGCGTCAAGGTGCCGATCTCCCGTTTTATGGTTATAGGTATAACAAAAATCGATGAGCAATCACACTCGGCTTTATTTATTTCTAGTGTTGAATCCACCAAGATCATGCTTCACGGATCCGGATTCAGTCCGTGGCTATAGGTATACAAAAACTCGATGAGCAATTACTCATTGGATTTTATATATTTCTAGTGTCTACTCATCCACGGCAATTATCAGGATCCGATTTTCATGAATTGTTATAGCTAACCAAGTTTCCTTTAAACCTTTACTTAAAACAAACTATACTCTTTATTTATACTTTCTTTTGATGGCAAAGAACGATGATCAAATATACATCCATTATGGAAGGTATACAAGTCGTTCTTGGCCATTACTAACCTAGAAGTATATATGACTATTGTTTTTACTCTCCAGGCCAAACAGCAAGGATCAAAACTCAAATTTGGGCTACAGGTAAACAAGTCTTCTTGAGCTTTTACTTACTGTCATTTATATATTTCTAGTGTTTTTTTTTCCTTAAAGTTCAAATATCAAAGATCTGATTTCAAATCAAGGTTACGGGTACACACTTTTCTCTCTGTCTTTACATGGTTTCTTTTGTATTGGCCTAGTGTGTTTACGATCCGGCTACACAATGAAAATTTTGTTTTCCTTCCAGTGCGACAGGTATATACATCTAGTTCGGCCTTTAGTTACTGTTGGCTTTATTTCTCTACTGGCTTCATAGTCCAAGCCAGCCATCATGGATCCTATATCCGTCCAGTGTTACAGGTATACACTTCTCTTTGGGATTTTACTTACTGTCGGTTTTAATTTTCTACTGTCCTTAAAGTCAAGGCCAACGACCAATCATCTGATATCCGCCTAGAATTACAGATATAAAAATGTTATTGGGCCGTTACTTATAATTGTTTTTGTTTCTCTAGTGTCCTTGCAGTCAAGGGTAACGAGCAAGAACCCGGTCTTCATATTGGGATATAGTGTTACGCATCTCTTTGATTTTTGACTTGCTGCAAACTGTATTTTTTCTCGTGACTTTACAGTCAAATTCAACACTCAAGGATTCGGTTTCCATCAAGTTTTACAGGTATACAAATCTGACAAGTGCTTTTATTTAATGTGTCTTTTTTTTTGTCAAGTGCCTTTACTGTCTATGCCAATGATTCCGAATCCGAGCCCTATCCAGAGTGACAGGTATACAAATATGTTTGCGTCTTTACTAACTTTTAGTTTTATATGTCTAGTGCCTATACGGTTTAGGCCGAAGAACTAGGACTTGATATTCATCCAGACTTGCAGATATATATTTTTCGTTGGGCCGTTGATTATTGGCTTTTTTTATCCGTCTATTGTTTTTACTGTCAAGGGCAACCATCAAGGATTCGATCTCCATCCAGTATGACAGGTATACACTTTTCTTTGGGTTTCTACTTATCGCTTGTTTTTTTTTGTCTAGTGTTTTCACCGCCCAGGTCGAAGAACAAGGATTTCTTCTTCATCCACGGTTACAGGTATACAATTCTCTTTTAGCCTTTGCATAACGCTTGTTTGATTTTTCTAATTTCATTAATGTCTATGCTAAATAATAAGCATCTACTCTCCATCTAAGGCCATAGGTTTAAAAAATATTTTTAAGTATTATTTTACTATTTATTAATTAATTAATTATTATTTTTTAATTTTACACAGCCAAGGCCAATCGATCCAGGTTTACTGTCCTCTAGGGTAACAAGTATATGTACATACCTGATCGTTTACTTACTGCTTGTTGTTTCGAGTAATTTTTATTTATTCAAACTGAATTACCAAAGTTTTACTATCTACCTCGTGCCTGAGGTATACAGGTCTCATTTAGTACTCACGTATCACTTATTATTCTGTCTAGCTTTTTTATAGTTTAAGCCAGCAATCGGGTTTTTAATCTCCATTAAGGATTAAAGGTATACATGACTATGTGAACCTTTACTTACTAGCTATTATATTTTCTAGTCTTTTTACAGGAAAGGCCCACAATTAATATGAGTTGTCTATCCGGGGGGGACAGGTATACAAATCTGCCAAAAAATCTACTTACTATATATTTGCATAATGTTTTTACAGCCGAAGCCAACGATCAAAGCTTTGATATTCTTTTGGGCTCACAGGTATAAAAGTCTCTTTGACTTTTTAGGTACTATCAGTTGTTTTGTTCTAACCCTTTCTTCTCCGTAGCAAGCGTTCAATGCTCAGCTCTACATCAAAGGTCGCAGGTATACAAGAATCTTTAAGCAATTTACTAAAAATTAGATTTTCCTAGCGTTTACATAGTCAAGGCGAAATGATCATGTTCTTTCTATCCATTCAAGGTTCTGGGTACACACGCACATTTTAGCATTTATTCTTCACTGGTTGAATCTTTTTAATCTTTGACAGTCCATGCCGAGAATCAAGGTCGCACTTCAAAAAATAGGGTTAAGGTATACATGCCTTTTTAAGCATTTACTTACTACTAGATGCTTTATTCAGACTTTATACAGTCGAGACCAAAGATCAAGAGCCCGATTTCCGCATAGATTTACAGGGATACAAGTGGCTTTCTTTACCCATTAACATATTGATAGCTGTTTGAAGCAGTCTTTTTACAGTTCAATTCAACAGTCAAGGTTCAAATCCCCGTCAAAAATCACTGATATACTGCCACTTTTTAGTATTTACTTACTGCCAATTGTGTTTCTTTAGTCTACTCACAGAAAAGGCCAACAATCAAGATGCCACTCTCCTTCTTGGATGTTAGGTATACCAGTATCTTTGGGTATTTACCTATTACCAGCTTTAGTTCGGTAGTCTTTTCACAATTGAGGCCAACACCCAAGATTCCATAGTTCATGCAGGGTTACTGGTATATATACCTCTTTGAGCATTTGCTTGGTGTCTGCTATATTTGTCTAGTCTTTTCATAGTCAAGGCTACTAATTGAGATTCCGCTGCTCATCTAGGGTAAAAGGTATATATGCTTTTTTTTTAATAGTTAATCATTGCTTGTTGAAATTGTCTAACAATTTTACAGTCAACGCTGATGATCAAGTTTCTGCTATTCGTCGAGGTAACAGGCGTACACCCTCCTTTGAATATCTTTCTATCATCCATCATATTTATCTAGTCATACCATAGTCCACACCAAGGTTCAAGAGTTTAGTCTCCACCCAGGTTCACAGACATTCAAGTATAATTGCCCTTTTAGGACTGCCGGCTGCTATTGCCTATTGCTTTTAATATATAGGTCAAGGGATAAATTTCCTACTCTCAACCATGAGCCACAGGTATCACCGTTTATTTTGAACATTTATTTATTATCGATTACATTTGATTAGTATTTTAAATCCGAGTCCAACGATCAAGCTTCAGCTTTCCGGGAAGGGTTGAAGATATCCATGTATCTTTGATTTTTTTTAATATCGACTGAATTTCTCTGGCGTTTGCACATTCAAGTCCATTGATCAAGTCTTTGGTCATTATCAAGTTTCCACTCAACATTATTGGGTAAAGGTATATAAGATTCTTAGATTACTTTTTTACAGCCAATGACATTTATCAAGCGTTTTTAGAGTCCTGGTCAACGATCAAGATCCTGCTATTAATTCAACGTTTTAGATATATAAGTGTATTTAAATATTACTTTACTACTGATTCTATCTATTTAATCTTTTTTTTCTTTTTCTTTTTTACATTCTATGCTAGCCCTCACGGCTCTAGTCTCCATCAAGGCTTATAGACATACAAGGTTTTTTTTATTGGAATATGTTCTTACTATCAGTTTTAATTTTTCTAGTAATTTCACAGTTCATACCAACGATTAGGCGTCCGATTTCTATCCAGGGCTACAGGCATACATCTTTATTACACCATTTACTTACAGCCTGTTTTATATGTCCAGAATCTTCACAGCTCATGTCAACAGTCACGGTTTTGACCTACATCTCCAACCATAGGTATATATATATTTCCGAGAATTTACTTACTATTAGGTGTATTTTTCTAGTGTTTTCATAGTAAAGACCAACGATTAATATTCCGACATTTTCCTACAGTCATAGACATACAAGTCTCTTTGAGCCTTTAGTTACTTTAAGCTGTATATTCCCATACTTTTTATGGCAAAGACCAGCGATCAAGGTTTCACTCTCCATAAAAATCCTCAGGTATACAAAACTCTTTAAATATTTTCTTACTATCAATTAGATTATTCTAGTGTTTACACAGTCAAAGCCAAACTATAAAGCCTCTGTTGCCCGTCCAAGTTCTCCAGTATATATATATTGAGCATCTACTTACTGGTTGTTGTTTTTAGTTATCTTGACATAGTCAAAACCAACGATTAAGGTTTCACCATACATCCAGGGTATGAGATACACATGTCTCGTTTAGTATTTAGCTATCAACTATTATTTTGTCTAGCTTTTTTTTTATATATTTTAAGCCAACGATCAAGTTTTGAGTATTTATTCATGATCACAGGTATATATTTCTTTTTGAACATATACTTATTGTTGGCTTTCTTTTTTTAGTCTATTTACCACCAGGGCGAACGATCAATATTCCGCTCCCCATTTTGGGCTATATGTATACATGACTCTTTAAGCAGTTAATACTTGTCGCTTTTATTTGTCTAGTCTTTTAATCGCCAAGTCCAAAATTTATGGCTCTGCTCTACATCATGGGCCGTAGGTATACAAGTCTCTTTGTGAATCTATTCACTGATGGTTATAAATACTTATAATTTCACAGTTGGTGTCAAAGACCATTGTTTAACTCTTATTCATATGTTACAGGTATACATTGTTTAGTTGCCCATTTTTCTTTGAATGATGCTTGTATTTGCTTATTTTTTTCTTCTCTTCGTAGTTTAGGTCAATTATCATGGTTCTATTCTTTATTAAGGATTAAAGACATAGGAGGAGTTTTTAAAATTTTCTCACTGAAAATTGTATTTACTAATTTTTTTTACAGCCGATACCAGGTATCAGTATTCTACTCTCTATTGTGGGCCACAGCTATATTTGTCTTTATTTACTATTTCGATAGCACAATCTAACGCTAAAAAACTCAATCTCTATCAAGGGTCACAGGTATACCAGTTTATTTGAATATATTACTACAAATTATTTTTGTATATTATTTTAAACAGACAAGCCCAACGATCAAGATTTCGGGCTCGAGTATCATATATCTGCATATGTATTTGTTTCAATAACTACTTTATGCTGTTTCTATAGGACCTTACAGTCATATTTAATGCTAAACATTAAAACTTTAGTTTTAGGTATGGATTCTAGGTATACAACAATTTTTGACCACTCAGTACTACTTGCTTTATATAAGAAGTGTATGTGTAGTTGAAGCCATATAATTTAAGCTGGTTAAAGGTATAAAAGGCTTTTGAGAAATTCACCGACATCTATACCTTTTTTATGTATTTGATATCAAGGATCAAGTAACAAATTTGTGCTCCCCGTCATTGTTTAAAGATATACAAGTATTTTTTAAATTTTTTCTTTTATTAATGTTTTCATTTCAGCAGTGTATTTCCAATTGATTTAAAGGATCAAGTTTTTGCCTCCATTATAGACTAAACGTATACAGTGCTATTTGAAAATTTAAATAATGTAATTTGCTTTCGTCTAGTACTCACAGTCAAGACAAGTATCAGGGCTCCACGTTTCCTCATAGAATAGAAGTGAACAAGACTCTCTGAACATTTAATTACTGCCTCTTTTAACTACAGCTTGGCCTTACCGTACTTACATTCGCTACTTATCCTGTGGCTGCAAGGAATCACATAACATTAGCATAACGTTATTACTGCTCATCATCTATCCCAATTAACAACATTAGCAACTCGGCATACTTTAGCTTATTTGTTAGTTTTGGGTATGTTTAATTCAGCCACTAGATTATCCACTGTATTGTATATCGCAAACCTCTGGATATATCCTCACAGTATCCTCCCCATGCTAACATGAGCCACGAAACTGATCCCACTCAATCTCTAATATTCAATCATTATAGCTACCACAATCACTTTTGAAGCGCTAGTATCTAAATCAATAGCGTATTAACAGTTGAAGGTCAGCTATGCATACGTATATGGCTACTCACGGGGCTATCTTCGTCGTCCTCGTCGCCACCCAGGGAATATTCCCTGAACTAGACATCTTATTCGCCATTTATTTAACCTAATAGATCATACATACGCTCAATCAGCGTAGCCAATGCCATACTAGATATCCATTCAATCTTCGATTATACATTTCGTGCTATATGGGGTGTTCATTTCAAATTTATCTCTAGGCATATAGGAGCTAAATCTACATTACACACTAAAAGATTCGAAGCTGAATAAGATTTAGTTTTTGTCTAGCTTCCTCATTTTTAAATAAATTACCTCCAATACACATTACAAAAAAAAATAACTTGGCTAGTTCCATTCTCTGTGTAATTTTTAATAGCTTTGTGTTGGTGTTAATAGGAAAAAAAGGAGGATTCTGTGGTTTTTAGTGTCGATTCTGGTAGTTTTGTGAAGTCACTGGAAACACGGAGGTTTGAATGATGATTTAGTTTTGGCGGGAGTTGCATGTACACTGAAAAGTTGTAGAAAAAACAAGGCTATCCTTACGGACAAGACGACGGGACAAGATTTTGAGGAAAAGATATCCATCTCTGACGTCAGAGATGATTAGTGTAACAATCCCATTTTTTTTGGGGGGAGCGACTAGATAAATGGTTCTTCGGATTGCCAATAAAATCACTGCCCTTTTTTTACTACAACATCAGCGCATAATTTTTTTGACATTTAACATGAGCAACATCAACAACACCAACAACACCAATGACCTTGTCATTGTCAGTGAGACTTCTTCCAAGAAGTACAATACTGCTTTGACCGAGTTTAATTCTATCTTTCTTGTTGGAAGACAATTTTCTTCAACTGTAGCTGTTCGTGAAGCTGTCAAGGCATATGGTGCCACGCATAATATTGCATTTTCCACCATGTTTTCATCAGAAACTCGCATAAAGATGATCTGTAAGCATGCGGGCGAATATAGAGACACTCGTAAGGCTGCAAAGATTGCTTTAGAAACCTCTGCCAGCAAAGAGAGTCCCCTTCCTGGATGGGAAAGAAAACGTGCCAAGGATACACAAAAGCATGGCTGCCAATGCTTTGTGTACGCCTCTAAGAAAAAAGACGGAAGAGTTGCTGTGCACTCGTGCGAGGCACAACATAACCATCCAATTGAGGAAGATCGTAGGGCGTATGCTATGCACCGAAAACTTTCGCCTGAGGCCATGGCCCTTGTAACAAGACATCTGGAGAATAACGATGATGTATCAACCATCTTCAACAGTTTGAAGATATGTGGATACACCAATGTCGTACGTAAAGACATTGAGAACATCAAGCAGCACTTTGGAAAAGATTATGAAGGAAAGGAGATGTTCGGTTTTATTACCACTTTACAAGACCTGGACTTCTATATCCGCTATACTGTTGATAATACAGATGACAAAAGAATCAACATGGTTTTCTTTGTTCGCAAGGATGTAATTGAGGAAGCGCGAAGAATGCCTGAGACGATAATCATCGACGCTACATATAAGACAAATAGCCATAGAATGACATTTGTCAATATTGTTGGTACCAGTAATGTAACTAGTAAATCTCGCGGAACATTGAAGACATTCCCTATTGCTGGTGCTTGGGTAGAGCATGAAACGGTTGAGAATTATCTCTGGGTACTTCGTTGTCTCCGTGATGCAGTTTGGCCAGATGTCGAAGACAATAACAGCGGCAATAGTAACAACAATACAGCAACAACAACACAAACAAAAACAAACACATACACACCTCTTCTTCCTAATGTGTTTATAACTGACAACGAGAAAGCATTGCGAAATGCAATTACCTGTGTTTTCCCTGAGTCGAAGCAAGTCTTATGCTATAAGCATATAAAAGATAATTTCAAAAAAGACTTGCTACCGACGATGAAGGGAGAAGAGAGCAGTGAGAAGAGAGAGCTTTTGGAGACTTTGGCAGGGTTTCTTGACAAGATTGCTTTGAAGTGCGAGACGCCCGAAGAAGTAAAGAAAGAGACAGATGGGTACCTCGAGTTTGCAAAGGAGAATTGCAAGAATCAGGGGAAAACCGCCAGTAATTTCCTTGAAAGGTACATATAGAGCCATTGAACTTGACAAAAATAGCTTATTAATTATAAAAAATTGGTAATTTTTGTATAATTTACTAGAAAAATGAAAGACAAGGAGAACTGGGTAAACATGTACGTTTATAAATACCCTCACTTTGGAAATCGTACCTCCAACCGCGCAGAAAGTGCACATGCTTCCCTCAAGCATTCTCTTGGTACCTCTTCTGATAAATTGATGACAGTGACACTAAAAGTGAAAAAGTGGTATCAGGAACTGGTAAGTTTGCATTATCTTATTTTATTTTATGTGTTAGTTGAATAAGTTCTCTAATTATAATTATTTGCTATAATATATTTGTATATTAAATAGGTTGATGATCGTAAATGCAGATTAATGACAGAGTGCCTCGGAGAGAGCACAGAAGTTGTGTTTGACAAAGTCAACGGAGTGAGACTAAATGACATTCGTCAAAAAATTAGCCGCTTTGCAATGGACAAAATCAAACTAGAACTATCAAAATCAATCATACCTGAAAAATTGACCAAAGAGTGCAAATGTCTCTTACATTACAACTATCTCCTACCATGCTATTATACACTCGCTACTTTTAATACAATTCCAATCTCCCTAATTCCAAGACGCTGGAGAAAAGATTATCTAGAAGGAGAAGGTAATACATATAACAGTTATAACATTATTTTCTCATATGCTATATAATTGTATATAGACCACTTGACAATTAACAACGCAGAACCAGTACCAGCAAACATTGCTAAAATAACAACTATATCGCCTCAATTTGATTACGATCTTGAGCTTGTTCATGAAGGCTTTCACAGTACACACAGCAAACAAGAACAAATAGATATACATAATTTAGTAAAAAACATACTAGAAAAAACGACCAAGCAGAAACTTGAGGATCTTAATGGTCCAACAATAGTGGAAGACATCAAAGGCCGACCCAAAAATACAAAGCGTGAAATGATTGCATTACAGCACTGCATTGAAGCTGAAAAAGAAAAAGATACAAAAAAATTAAAATAGCAAAAGAACAAAAAAAGTGAGTATTCATTTATAATACATTACATAAATCTATTTCACTCAAGTTTTTCTCTATTTTCTAGAAAACAAATATCCTCAACTCAAGAGCAAAAAGCCTTGCAAAATACCACCAATCTTGGCTTGCCAATCGATCACACAATATTAACAAATCTTACTATTGCTCCTAAACATATAACCGAAGTCTTTTCTCCCGAAGCAGATGGCAACTGTGGATACCGAGCAATAGCAATGGAGATATATCAGGACCAGGAGAAATGGCCTGAAGTTAAAGAAAATATGCTAGAAGCCTACTTAAAATATCAGCATACATATTACCAGGGAAGAATGGAGAATGGCAACATGCCTGCATCCACAAACCCGCTCATAATCAGTCTCAAAGACAAAAGATCACCCCTCCCACAGCAAAATTGGTTCGGAACGATTGACCATCCACAACTTGTAGCAGATGCGTTCAATAGAGCAGTAGCTGTATATTGAAACACTCCAAGAGAAACAGGCGACTGTCTCTTCGTTCCATTAACTACCACACCAGAAAAAGTCGAACCAATAATCATCATCTTGGACATCAACCACTTTCTCTTTGCGAAACGTAAACCTATCAGAAACTTCACTTGGCCAAAAATAAATCCTTTCCACAAAGCCATAGTCAAAAGATATGGCCTAAGTGACAACTCAATCATGTATTAATTACTAAGGTATATATTTTGTACTTGAATTGGCATTGATAATATTAACATTGAATATTTTATTTTTGTAGTTTTTTTTTATATATTTTATCTCTATTTATTTTTATATCAACTTTTATCTTTCTATTAATTTTTATCTCAATTGTCAACTTTTTTTATAATCAATATTTTTTGAAACTTTTACGAAATACTCGGATTTGACCCCCCAAAAACAATGGGATTGTTACACTAATCATCTCTGACGTCAGAGATGAAAATATTGTCCTCGAAATCTTGTCCCGTCGTCTTGTCCGTAAGGATAGTCTAATATATAGATGAGGATCACAAAAGAGATGAGGGATATAAAAACACCAGTCATAAACTTAAAGTCTAGGTCTGTACAGGCGTTTAATATTCAGTGATCACTGATTTATATTTTCCACAGTGCTATGGAAAAGATAAAAGTCACATGTCTAGCTTTTTTACATTTTTCCTAGTAAAATATTCACAAATTTCCATTGCTTAAAGTTGTAGCAAGCTCTACATACAAAAATTGTTACACATTTCGCCTTTGACTCTGATTTTCTGAATATCTTCAGCAGTGAGATAGCTTTTAATATGTATAAAGCCAAATACCACCACTTTAGCTAAAAAAATGTTACTTAGCCCAACAGTTTGATTTAGTTTATTCTAAATAAAAATTAAAGTCTACTTTTTTTTAAGGAAGACAAAAAAAAGGGACTGCTGGAGATGTTCTAATCAAAATTTCAGATTTTAGCATGCTTATCCTTCCATAACCTCGAATATAACAACACACATCTTCTGTTTTATGAAAGCTAAAAAAATGTACCACAAAACCAAAACCAAATAAATTATAATCGCAGATTGAATTAACCCAAATTTATACCTTTTGTACTTTATGTAATTCAATCAATTTTTTGATTATCTTGCGTTCTAGTAATTCGTTTTTGCTCAAAACAAGTGCGTTAAAGAGCTAGAGACAATAAAAAACGAGTGGGCTAAGAGGCATGGCGGGCTTTTAAATAAATCGAATTTTCGGAGTATGAATTAGCGAAAATTGAAATCCAACACTCACTCCTGCAGTGGGAAAGTAATGTTTTCAGTCTCCATTTGAGTAGTATTAAAAGACAGAACATTTATCATTTTATCAGGCATGGATTTGATAGGAAATGTCAATTTGAGAAATATATTCTCTGGTTGAGAAAGTCAATAAAATCATTAGGGATAAGTAAAATATAAACATCTAATATAGATATGTTACAAGTGTCTTTATAGCTGTATATACTTTAAGAAAAATTATAATGTTTGTAATAAAGATCAGTTATTTTATTTTTTATTTATTTATAAAGACAATGTTATACATTTTTAATTTAAAAAGAAGTATGAAATTGTTCATAAATTTGAAAGTGTCTTTCTCGCAAAATATATATATAAAACACTTGTATACTTTACAATTCTTCAGTGGTAGTTACTCATAAATCAATGCATGCTTTTAAATCGAAAGAAGTAAATGTAATTATACAAACAGCACTTTCATAGAACCTATTGTTTTCTTTTATATTTTACTTTGCTTTACTTATAACATTAATATATATATATACAATGTGAAATATATCAGTGATATTTAACTTGCTTACATATATTATTTATGTACAGCAAATATTTGAGATAAAAATTAATCTTCAGACATAGTTTTGTATATAAACATAACAAATGGTTCTCTGCAGTAGTATTTTACATTTAATTAAACAATTTATACTGAATTTCTCTACGTAAATTAACTATATCAAGGAGTTTCTTTCTCGAATGCAAAGCTGTTGATAAAACATATATTTAACATGTTATATAAAGTAACTATAAGTAATTTTTCTTTGAAAGTTTAACAAACAAACTCTTACTATTGCTACTTAAAAAGTTACTTCAAATCAGAGAAATAAACTAGATACATAAGCATAGCTTATTACATATTAATAATATGCTTCTCCAACATTGGTCTAAACCCTAAACTTTAGGTGCTCTTCACGACTCCAGACCTTGCAACTGGGCGTTCCACAAGACCTATCACCCAGACCTTACACAAAACAATTTTGAAACTATATGTTACGCAAAATACTTTTGAAGTACTTGATTTCTAAAATGTCATTAAAGTGTGTTAATTTTCTTGTATTATTTTTTGTATTTTTTATTTCGAAATATTTTTATTAAAACAAAACAGCAAAAAACTATAACTGCCTTACATAAATTGTTCTTGGAGAAAGAGAAGTCAAAGAATTTTTACAAGCATTGTCTAATGCTTGACCCTAGCTTTTTCTAATCAGCAAATGACTCAGAAGAGTAGACCAATTCATTTAAAAGGTAATAAAATAGAAGTAAAGAAATAAAATAACATATTAAGGGGCTTCTCAAGCGCCCAACAAGACTGAAAAGTTTGTGCAGGATTTCCTTATACAGATTGGACAGAGTTTTCATAATTAGTAATCATAGACAAAGTTTTGTCCAGGCAAAAAGTAAAATCCAAAGTTTTGTCCAAACATTACTAATTTTGGAAACTCTGACCAGTCCGTATAAGAAAATCCTACACAAAATTTTCGGTCTTGTTGGGCGCTTGAGAAGCCCTTGACTAATATCTATTTAAAGTTCTTGCAAGTGCATATTAGGAATTTGAATAGGACTAACTGTTACATTAAGATGCTATGGGCTTAGACTGGCACCCATAATGTACCTAACATTGTTCCACAACATATTGGCTTTTGTACTTTCTAATAATATTAATGACCTGATAATTTTTAAATCACAAAGCCTTATATCACACAAGTAGAGCTAATTAAAGTTTAGCTTATATAAGTATTACTATTATTAGGTCTAAGAAAAAAATAAAGGACAAAGTTAATCCGAATGAAATGTTAACACAATTGATTAAAAAGACATTAAGATGAATATGAGATGTGAGTACGGTGAGACAGGAGAGAGTTGATTTGATTGAAGTGAAAGAGAGAAGAAGAGTGAGAGTGATTATATTTAAAGATATTAAGGAAACTTTGATGGTTGAGTATTTGTGTTGGGTGAAGTTTGTTTGGTGTAGAAGTGGTTATTTAAAGATATACTAGAAGGTGGAAGCTTTGAAAATTATGTCTGATGGGATGGGGGGCATTGGGATCGAAGAAGGTGTTGGAAGTATAAGCATATGAATGTTGTGTGTGTGCGAGAGTTGAAAGCCAGATTTGAGAATGGTGATATATGAGACCTTGGGCTTAGAGGAATATAATGTACGGTTTTGGAGTGTCGAAGTTTTATTATATGGCTATGATTTTGAGCTGTATCTTGTAGTGGTAATAAAAAAAAAAGATATGTTATGGTTG